AGGTCCAGGTGGAGTCTGGCAGCAGGACGTGGTGACTCTTGGGGTGGCCTGGGATCAGACTAACCACCGTGGGGGGGGGGGGCTCAAGGGACAAAAATAAAATCTTTTGGCTTCCAGGCGGGGACGGGCAGGGGTGCCCGTCCAGGGCTCTGGGCTGTACAAGCAGAGCCCGCCCTGCAGCCCCTGCGGCCCCATCTCAGGTGCCTGGGAAGGCATGTTTTAGAGAAGCCAGGCGATCGTCAGGGGAGCTACTGGGGCCCCAGGAAAAGCACTAGTTTTGTAATTAGACCCGGTTTGACCCTGGCTCCACGCCTCTCGTCCTCAACCTGCCAGAGCACCTCCTCATCTCTGAGTTGGACACGGTCAGCCCCAGAGGCTCAAGGGCAGCGTGGAGCTGCACCTCCCGGTCTGGCCAGGAGACAGCTGGGCACAGAGGCCAGGCGCCAGGCACCGCCACCCAGCAGCATAGCACCGACAGCAGCGCCTCCACCTCCTGCGGGAGAGCCGTCCTGCTCTCTGTGCTCGCCAGGGAAAGCCCAGGTAGACAGAGAGCCACGCCCGCCAGGCCTGGCCACGAGCGTGTGTTGTGGTGTGTCGGGGGGAAGCCTGGGTGGCGAGCCGAGGGCCCAGGGAGGCTGGGGACCCGGCTGGTGACGGTGACGGGCAGCTGGGCCCTGGGCTGGGAGTAGCCGAGACCCGTCGGGCCCTGGCGTGCAGGTCCCCCAGGTGGACCTTGGGTTTCGGCTGGAATGCCAAGTAGGTCGGCACCGCCAAGAGCTTCTGGGGAAGAACTTGTGGCGCCCCCCCCCGCCCCCCCGCCAGGGCAGCGAGGGGCCGGCAGACGGGCCCTGACTTACTGGTGCTCCGTCCCGACAGCTTCAGCTCCAGCTCCTGCACCTGCCTGACCAGCAGGGACACGTGCTGCAGGGCGTCCCTGTTCTGCAGCAGGAGCTGGTGCACGCGGGCCTGCGCCTCCAGCCTCGCCGCCGCCTCCGCAGCCAGCTGGTCCTTCAGCAAGTGAACCTGACGCAGGAAGCAGAGACGAGGGGGTGGAGAAGAGAGAGGCAGAGAAGATAGACGTGAATGCCAACCCGGGGCGCTCGCAGGGACCAGACATGACCCCACATTCAACCCCAGACGAAGCGGCACCTGGGCTTGTCATCCTGGTGTTTCCAAGAAGCAGCTCACAGCAGTCACCCCCAAACACAGAACCTGAAGCCCCTGCGGCCCTTTTGAAACTGTGAGGTGGCCTCCACCAAGTCTGTCTTCACGTCTGTGGTGTCAGCCCCGTCCCCTGACCGTCCATCCCTTCCTATGTCTATGGCCCCCGGACTGGGCCCGCTGCCTGCGTGTCCCAGGCGGCTCCTGGAGAGCTCGCGGTGGGACGCACTGAGCGGAAGGACCCCGAGGAAGTGGAGCCCCAGGCAGGAAGATGCTCACACAGGTGACCTTGTGCCTAGAAGGGCATTAAGGGGTCGCTGTGGGGGTGACGTGAGCGTGGCAGCCCTGGGCAAGGTGCA